CTCTTGTGCGTGAGTTGCTTAGCAACTGAAAAAAAAATATTGAGTTGTGGGGTTGATTGTCGTGAGAAAATAAATAAAGTAAGAATAAAATAAAAGAAAATCTTGAGCGTGAATCATGGAAACCTCAAGAAAGACAAGCGAGTTCGGATGGAGTTATACAAATAACTATGGAGGAGATGTTTCGACAACAAGACGAGGGCATATGCTTTACTTGCGACAAAAAATATGTGTCGGACCATAAATGCAAGATGGATTGGAATGATCTTTGTTGCCAGGAAGACAAAATAGAGGGTAGATTAAGAAATAGTGGAAGTTTCCTGGGCTTCAACAGGTTTGGTTTATTGCTTCAATGGAGATAGAATAAATTTGAATGAAGGGGTACCGGTCCACTTGGGGGAATATGAGGGAAGCTGAAGGTTTCATAGAGGAGAAACTTGATAGAGGGTTTGGATCATTCATTGATTATTCTGGACAATGGGAACCAAGAGGGCAAGAGGAAAAGAAGATTCCATTTCGATAAAAGATGGCTAAAGAAGGAAGGCATTGAAGAGGTATTAAAAATTGTTTGAGAAACTGCTAATCTGGGAACTCCTATGTTTATAGTTAAAGAGAAGGTTAAGCAAACAAGGAAGGCACTCTTAACTTGGAGCCCAACCTTCAAATCTCAGAACTAGACAAAATTAGACATACTAACCAAGAACCTTGAGGACTTAAGGGGTGGCAAGGGAGAGAACACTTGGGAAGAAAGCGAGAACCTAAGAAAGGATTTAAAGGAAGCCCATTGTTTTGAGGAAAGTTATTGAAAGCAGAAATCAAGGGCACTTTGGCTAAAGAAGGGGGACAAGAAGTCCAACTTCTTCCATGCTCTTATCAATCCCAAACATCAATTGAAGAGCATGTGTCCCAGTTCTATAACAACCTTTTCACTTCAGAAGGCACTTGGGGTGGGGAGAGTATTCTTCAGCTGATACATCCTTCAATCGTCCCTAAGAAGAGTACAACTTTAGAGCAACCAGTGGAGGAGGATGAGATCAAAGATGCCCTTTTCAGCATGCATCCAGAGAAATCACCAAGTTAAGTTGGTATGACAGTTGTTTTCTATAAAAAAAATTCTGGTGTGTAATTAAATCAGATATAGTTCTTGCTGTTAAAAGTTTTTTCTCTCTGGGAATATGCTGCAATACTGGAATCATAGTGTCATTACCTTAATTCTAAAATGCTTGAATCTAGAATTTCTCAGTAAATACAGACTAATTAGTCTGTGTACTGTGTTTTACAAAAACCTTTCCAAAATTATGGCTTTAAGATTGAAGAATTTTCTACTATCTAGTATCAATGACTGTCAAGCTGTTTTTATTTAAGGAAGGCAACTGATGGATAATGTGATAATTGTCCATGAAACTTTCCATTATTTGAATAGACATAGATCTGGGGGTAACTCCTTTATGACTTTGAAACTAGATTCCTTTATTCTTGAAGCTGAGAGGAAACAGATTGCATCATGGCTCTGGCAAAGTTGGTTGGATATATTATATCTCTTTGCAAAAGGGTTGAATGTGGAGATCAGAGATGGCAGAGATACCAAGATCCAGGATGTGAACTGGGTACCTAACATAACTAAGAGTAAACCTGAAATGCTAGAGATTGCTATAGGCCACCTGATTTAGGTTAAGGATCTGATGACAGAAAATGGAACTTAGTGGAATGAATGGCTAGTTAAGCAGGTATTCAATGGAAGAGATAGTGAGGCAATTCTGAAAATTAAATCTCTCAACCCAAACCTTGCTGACAAGTGGAGATGGGGGCTTGATAAGAAAGGCATCTTTTAGTGTCTGCTTCTTATGCTCACTTGATAGAGCAGAAAGTTCAAGCCTTAGATACACCTGAGGGGAGAAACACTAAAATACAGGGTAAAACGACTAGAAATATAAGCTGGAACCTTAAGATCAAAGGGAAACTACACTGTCTCTGGAAATGTGTGAATGGTACACTACCTGTAAAGATCAACCTAAGGAAAATAGGGTTAGATATGGATGTAATCTGCCAAAGCTGTGGAGAAGACATTAAAACTGTAGAACATGTGTTTCTACATTGTGCAAGGGCCAAGAAGCTGTGGAAGACAGTACCTATGAACTGACTGGGTATCAAAGATGAGAATTGTTTATTCAAAGGCTGGTGGGGACAGATTTGAGCCCTAGCTAAATCTGAAGTTGTTGAAGCTCAGATCCAACTAACAACATATCTTTGTAGCGGCTCTGGAAAACCCAAAACCATTGGTTGTTCCAAAGGGAGAAAATCCCTTACCATTTGGTGATCAAAGGTGCAGTCAGGGAATGGCAGGTGTANCCTTTTTTCAGTGTTTATTTTGGTTTGAGTTGACTGTGGCTCTCTGTTGCTAATTTAGTCTTGTTCTGTAGAGGACTAAGGGCTCAACTGTGTCTGCATTAGCCTCCGTAGTAGTTGGTGTTGTATAGGTGGTTGAGTTGTGGGGAGTTCCCACCAGTTTGTATTCGAAATTTGTTCTTAGATTTGTGTGTAATATAATTCCCCTATCGTTTCGAAAAAAAAAAATCTAAACATAAGCTCTAAAATAACAAATATTTTATAATGTGTGAAATAAAGATATAAAATTATATACTAAAATTATTAAATTAAAATATAAAAATTGATATTAACATTGAAAGCTATTTTATATATTACTCAATATTTTTTTTATTAATATAATTTGAACGATTTATTTATTAACTAGTACGTAACCCGTGCGATGCACGGGATGTAAAATTTGGAAGAATAATATAACACGTGCATTAGGATCGAAATTGAAATCATTAAAATACATAGGAACATTGTTAAATCATAAAAAGTTCGGTAACAATCATATATTATTAAAAATCTCCTTGTACACAACATTATGAGTTTGATTATTTGGTAACTCCTTATTATCACAAACTAATATTTTCAAAAGAGACAAATCCTAAAAACCAAACTAATATTTTTTGTGAATAAACTAATATTTTAGGATTGGTGAACACACAAATATTTTAGAATTTATAGGATTTGTCTTTTTTGGTGAACAAACTAATATTTTAGGATTGGTTATATGAATAATGCTACCTGTTTTTTGTGTTTTTTCATTCATTTTCATTCAAACAATCCGATGACTTGTATAATGGAATCTGAATCTTAAGCCGAAATATTTAAAAAAAGAGTTTTTAAAAATTGAAAAGTCAAGGCAATCAGTTCAGATTAATTAAAGGTCAAAGAATATCCGCTCCTTGAAATAAAGACGTGTGCTATCATTAACCAAATATCCGATTATTGATATAGAGTGGTTACCAAAATATAGAACGCGATAAGGACGCTTCATGAAAATATCAATGGGATAAGGTCATAACAGATCGCTATAAATTTTAACGATAAAAGCTCATATGGAATGATTTATGATAATTATGTCGTAATTATTGGATTAATTAGATGTGTGAAAATGACATAATTAAGGAGAAAAAGACATAATTAATGAAAAGTGTGAAAAGGACATACTTAATGAGAAGTGTGAAAATGACATAATTAATGAGAAGTATGAAAATGACAAAAACTTACCGGTTTTGGAAAATATTTAATGCAAATCTGACATTGACCATAATTTGACCTACTATTTTGAATAAATGTTAATTCTTATTATATAAGTATAAATGACTTGTGTGCATTGCACGAGCTACTATCCATAGGAATCAACATTCACTATTTCTCGTTGTTTTATCAATCTGAATCTAAACCGGAAATAAGAACCCTTCGTCCTTTTCCATGTCATGGTTGTGTACCTTATGATGACCATATTAGTTCCACCGACTCCACTCCACAATTCGAGAAAACTCCACTCGGCAATTAGAAAAAAAGAATTGAAAACCCATAATATTGTAGTTGTTAAAAGAAGAAATATTTGAAATTTCGATATTTGAAAAGAAAATTTATAGATTCAGAACTCGCTCCACGATCGTGGCTGATACCCGAAAACCCGATCCACAACCGTCTCCAACCCGACAAAAAACCCAACCCTGTCCAGAAACCCGTTCCACAACCCACTAACAACACAGTAGTTATTACTGTACGGCCGCCGGCGGTGGGCGGCGTGCTGCGCCGGCGCCAGTATAATCCCGGCATCCTGAAGCGCCGCCACCACCGGCGGGAGCCTCCGCCTCGGGGTGTGGGCCCACGCGTGGAACTGCTGGCAGAAGAGCGCGCATCCCCAGAACACACCGGCGAACGCCAAGAGGGCGGGGCTGCCGGCGGTCAGGCCCACTGGGGAGACGGCGGCGGCGGCCCACTTTGCCGGGAGGTGGAGGTTGTTGGCGAGCTGCCGCCTGGCGATGGCCCGCGGCTGCTGGTGGTGGGCCTGGAAATCCTGGATTTGGGGCCCAAATATGGGGGTGTGGGGACTTCCGTAATTGTCGATTGCCCAGTGGTAAATTCCGGAGGCGAGGTCGGCGGCGGCATAGCCGGTGAAGGAGGCTGAAAGGGAGTGGATCCATGGCCTTGGGGAAAAGGGGCGGAGGGCTATTAGTAAGTGGAGGGATTTGGCGAGCGTGAAAAGCACCGCTGCACAGCCGGCGGCAAGCCAGACGCGGTGGGTCCACGTGGAGATCTGCCAAGTTTCTTGATTTTCTATGTACTTTGTGGGCTTATTAGCTGTGCCTGATTTATTAAGTTGAAGCTCAGCTATTACACCCATATCAAAAAGAATACGATTTGTTGACTTAGGGAAGTAAATTGTTGTAATCTAAAAGGCCGTGAGGAAATGGTAGGGAGATCGTAAGTTGCTGAAATAGCACAAATCTTTCCCATATTTAACCTTCAAGATTAGGTCGTCAATAAAGTGTAATATTTATTTTTTTTTTCTTTAAATAATTTGTTTCCAACTTGGTTTATTAATTAAAAGATTTTAATAAACTTTTTTTTTCTTTGACTAATTTTTTTCCATTGAAACCCATACTAGTACGTAGCCCGTGCGATGCACGGGACATAAGTATTAAATGAGTCATTTCCACAGAGTTTGTCCGTTAAGTAGCTCGTGCGATTCACGGGAGATATTGAATGAGTGGACCATAGGGCTTGTCCGTTTAGGCCTAAAAAATAATAGAGTTTGATATTTATCTTTTTACATCTTTTCATCAACGTCATTTTTTTTGTCGAAATATTAAACCTGAGTCTGGTAGCGCAAACCCGTAAATTAATTAATATATTATCTCGCTCACATGTTTATAATAATATAAATTTGATTTCATTATATATATATATATATATATATTCCTTGATATAAGAAAAATAACAATTTTACATAATCTTGTTCCTCGTATAATACTTATATTATTTTATTATAAAATTTATTGTAATATAATTTCATTATTATTATTTATGCAAGTTATATATGTAGTCTTCTTCTTCTTTTTGTTTTATATAATTAAAATATTTAATGTATGTTCATATTATTTATAAATGTAATTAATTTAAATTATGTAAATAAATTTAAAGTAAAACATTTTGTACAAACATTTTACAAAATATACACAAATATTTTTTTAGAATTTCTTTTTTTTTTATAATAAATAAACATCTTTGAAATTCTATGCAATTATTAAACATCCGTGATATAAATTCGAAATCATAATTAAATTCTATGCAATTAGTAATTCTGTCCGATGTTATGAGAAACAAATCATTCGGAAATGATTATATGTAAGTTGAGATAAAATGAAATGTATCAAAAAAAATCTGCTTATGATACTTTCCTTTAAATGTTTGAATGAATTTGAAATTTAAATTACAAATCAACCTCCAGTTATTCAAATAATTTTAAAAAAGTTACCAATTGTAGTAAAATGTATGTGACAATATATTATAAATATACATGACGTCAGTAATGTTATGAATCTTTAAGTTCTTAAAATATATATTATTTAAATATGAAACTAATTAACTTATATGTTAAGAAAATATATATAAATATATGTATTGTACGAAATATACGCGTGACAAGTTATTATATTTGTTTATATATAGTTTGTATTGTTATTATATTTGTATATAAATATATTGTTTATATATTTTTCTGTATTGTACGACAAATTACTATATTTGTTTATATATTGTTTAAATATGTATTGTTTAGATATGAAACTAATTAACCTATATGTTGAGATAATATATATAAATATATGTATTGTATGAAATCTTCAACGTGTTTGTTAAATTTTTCCCCTAAAAAATTCAAAATACATTTAGGCATGTTTTGTTTGAAGTTTGAAATTTAAATATGCATCTATATAACAAATCCCATGATTTATGCTAGTATTAAATGCTACTTGATTTTTTATAAAAAAAATTAAAAAAACATACCAAAAATGGAATGCAATTAATGTTCCTTATTTTTTTGCTTACTATTTTTGAAAAATGTTAATTCTTATTATATATATATAGATTAGCATGGGTTTTATATGAGCCATGTAGTATTGCCCAAATGGAGTAAACATAATTATGTTTTGTTGTAAAAAAAGTTCCATCTATTTGAGTATTTATCTTATTAGAGATTCAAATCTAGCAATTGGATTTTTGTTCTTGATTCTGTAAGGTTTTTTCGTTCTTTTCAATTTTTATTTTTTTTCTTAATAAACAACACTCTAGAAGGGTGGAGGGTTAAGGCCAGACCCCCAAACCTGTATATAAAAGGCCTAAAATCGAGCTGAACAGTCACAAGTCTACCTTAAGTAGCTTATCTACTTTCATCTCCATCACCAGGTCGAGATCTACACCAAAGTGTCTTCATTTCTGTTTTACCAGCCTCATGGCCTAATCTATATTCATTCGATGCTCTGGAACCTTTGGGCTAATACCTGTTAGGTCTTTAGTGGAGAAGGCAATTCGTGCACAATGAATTATAAGAACAATTGTATTGTTATTCGTGTATATGTGTACCATTTTATAGTTAGGGTTCTTGCTGGTTAAAAGACTACTAGTATGGTAATCCGTGCACAGTGAATTATAAGAACGGTTATACTTAATTAGAGTCTATGCTGTATATGTGTACCATTTTATAGTTATGGTTCGTGCTGGTTAAGAGACTACTAGTATGGTCATTTTTATAGTTATGGTTCGTGCTGGTTAAGAGACTACTAGTATGGTCATTTTTATAGTTATGGTTCGTGCTGGTTAAGAGACTACTAGTATGGTAAATAATTCTCTCGTATCTTCCCTCTTAACTAACCAGATTTTCCCATATCTTTTAGTGTCCTTGAAAATGTACACTTCACATCTATTAGGACTTTGTCTTCTCTAGTTGCACAATTCGCTGGTCTTCGGATCACACTCCTGACTCTGGTCTCTCCTTTATTCAAGATCAGAGGTTTCTCCACACCCGGGCTACGTGCTCCTCTGATCTTCCAACCTCCGAGCTATCTGAGGTCAGTCCTTGATCATCTGAGGCTGATGGTGCAGCCAGACTGAGCTCTCTTAAACCGTCCAATGCTGAGCTAACACTTCTAGCGGTTCAGCCGAGCTGTTCTGAATACTATATCACTTACCTATCTTATTTAATTGTTATTGTACTCTCTTAATCTCATAATTGCCACAAATTTACTTTTGATAATTTCTTATTATCAACAAGGGCGATACCTAGTACGAGAGGGCCAAAATTTGTTGACATTCACAAAATATTTGTACAATAAAATCAATTTTTTGTAAACTACAAAACATGTGTTTTGCATTCATCAAGAAAAAAATTATATTTATAAAAATAAAAAAATAATAAAAGAGGTAACTTGATATGTGAATAACTAGATTAACATATAGTGGAAAAGCGAAACTCACACAACAAATGTTATTTTTTCTTGCAATCCATGATTGCACGCAAAATATAAATATTATCATTTTATTAGTGTTATGAAACTGTAATATATAAGCAACTTCCCTATACACATCCAGACACATCACCCACTGCCAACCACGTTCTCACGATTATTAGGTTTATTATTATTTAATCGAAGGCCCAGCCCATCAAAGAATCACTTAGCTCCAGAGACTTGGGCCCATTCAAAATTGGGCTCGCCCCAACATCTGGGCTTGTACCCGAAAGCCCAATCGAACGCCAGCTCCAGGCCCAGGAAAAACCCGGTCCTATCCAGAATCCGGTTCCAGATTCCGCTGACGATGCAGTAATTGTTGTTGTAAGGCGGCCGGTGGTGGGCGGCGTGCTGCGACGGCGCCAGAAGGATTCCGGCGTCCTGAAGCGCCGTCACGACGGCCGGAAGCTTCCGTCTGGGCGTGTGGGCCCACGCGTGGAACTGTTGGCTGAAAATCTCGCTGGCACCGAATACGCCGACGAACATGAGCAAAGGCGGGTTAGTGGAGAGAATATTAATGGGGATGACGGCCGCCGATACAGACGCCGCCGTCAGGTAGAGATTGACGGCGACCTGCTTTTTGGTGATCGCCCACGGCTGCTGGTGGTGGCCCTGTTAAATATTTATATATATATATATATATATATATATATATATATTACTTTTCAGACCAAATGCTAGAAAATTTACCAAAAAGAATAAATTGAAATCAAAAGATTGCTAACCAAAGCATATTATCTCAATCACGAATGTGTGATGTCTGATTTTTATTTTATTTTTTCTTTCAACAAAAAAAAATGTGTTGTTTATGGTAGAAAATAGAAAAACAGTGTCTTCAGTAAAAGTGGTGATATCTTATTAATTCATAACACATTGATATCTATATAAATATAATCAATAAACAAACGTTTATGTTAGTGATATTAGGAGGTAAGAATAATAGGGATGATCTTGCCTGGAAGCCCTCAATTTGGGAGCCGAAGATGGGCGTATTTGGGCTCCCATAATTGTCTATGGCCCAGTGGTAAATGCCCGAGCCCAAGTCCGCTAAGATATATCCAATAAACGCCGCAAAGATGGATGCTTTTGTGGGGCCGTAATGGATGGATTTAGCCACCGAAAACAGCACCGCCGTGCAGCCAATGGCCAGCCATGCACGGTGGCTCCACGTGGACACTTGCCAACTTTCTACAATTTCGTTTTTAGTTGTGGCCCAATATTTGTGATTAGCCTCCACTTGTGCAGACATTTGTAAGTTTAATATATATTAATGAAAAAGAAAGAAAGAAAAAAAAAATGTTGGGACTTTGGGGCCTAGGATTATGGAGAGTTGAGGAAATGGTTTATAGAGCTCTCATTTATAAGGTGTTTTAAGGGAGTCGTGAAGTGAATATCATACCAAATAATTTTCAACATAATATAAAACTATTGGTTGAATAGAATATATTTAATGTAGGGGTTGTATTTTTCTTGATTTAGGTGGGCAAAGATCATTTGACTTCTTATTCCATTTACATTTTTAAATTGTTGTGAATTATATTATTGGTTTTAGAGACTCACATTATTACATTAAATCTGTATATGTATTTTATATATGTAGAATCATACACAATATTACTCTTTCGTTAGTCAGATATTATTACATGGTGACAATGTGTGACTCAAACGGTGTACTTAAAATAGATTCTAATGATGCGAACGCTCCAATAAGGAGTTCCTTTACATGTATACATACATTAATATATAAATAGATTGATAGAAATAAACAGGTGAAAAATTTATTAGAAATAAAATATAATTTTTTCTCTAAAATTATTGGTTTCCAAGACAGAAATTTAGTGTCATTTTTCATTGTTTTCCTTTATGATGTGTAGATTTATCTACATTTAAAATGTCAACAATGTAAACTATTGGTTCGAAAATAAAATCAAAATATATAAGTATTTNAAAATAGAAGAAGAAAATGTGTTGGACCGAAAGCTGTAAATGAAAACAGCAAAAGAAGTTCAGAATGCTTAATTTGGATGTTTGAGTTGGACGGACGCTAACTTACATTTTAGCTATTGTTTGCTTGATCAAGTAACTAAACTGCTACCATTTCGTGCATTCTTCCTGCTTTGTTTATAATATGACTTAAATCATGGGCTAAAAACAGTTGGTAATTCAATGCAAAATTCAATTATATACCTTTAATATTAACTACTTTTTACCACAACTACTTTCAGATACAATTCTATATGCACAATACTAAACTATTGAATTTCTCATCCTTCATTCACCAACATGCCCTTTTCTTGAAATAAAGTTTAGATGTATTATTCGACTCCAATTCGTATTTATAAGTACTGATTTTTTTTTGGTACAAAGAAGGGGACCAAAAGCCTTTGAATTACTTAAGCTAAGATACGACGGGGGTAAGAAACCCCAATAAAGTCATGTTGAAGCCATGCTCCCACCCCCGGGTGGGGGGGTGGACGAAATCCGATGTAGTCCGACTGGAGATAAAGCCGCTAAGCTAGCCATGTGGTCTGCCGCAAAGTTCGCTTCCCGATGAACGTGTTGCAACTTAATGTTCCATTCCCGAGCTAAAAGGTCACGAATGGCCTGGACCAGTGCTGTATGTGTCCCAAAACTATCCTCTGAACCATTAACCATTTTCGTCACACACTAGCTATCCACCTCCGCAATAACTCGTTTGTATCCCAACTCCCATGCCAAAAGCAGCCCTTGCAAGAGTCCCCAAAGCTCGGCGCCTGTAATAGTACAGAAGCCAATATTCATAAAAAGGCCATCTACCCATGTTCCACACTCGTCGCTAATCAAGCCTCCAGCACTGCTCAGGCCAGTAGTGTTGTCGAAGGCACCATCCGAATTAACCTTGACCCATACTGATTTATTCAATAATAAGTTGGTGTCTCGCTTTTAATTTTATTTTGAAAAGAATATGTAATATCCCATTCAGTAATTAATAAAAGTAATTATTCTAAGTTGAACTAATTACTTTTATTAATAATGTTCGTTCCTAGTTTCGAGCCAGTTATTAAGTTATTCAGTTAAAAATTCGACTTTAAGTCGAAAGTATTCTTGGTTAAATTTTATTCAGTAATCGAGCCAGTTCAATAATTAATTAATTCCGGTCTGGTTATTTTTATAAATGGATTTATAAGACGGGATTAATTAATATAAGATGACGAATAATCGAAATTGAGTATATTTTGATTAATCGTTTAAGATAAGTAGTGAACTGAACCCAACTATGTTCATTCATGAGTTGAACTTAATTAAGAAATAGTCGAGTCTTAGTACTAAATACTTAGAATTTTTCTAAGTGCTTAAGTCATCAAGATAAGATCATAATATCGAGTCTTAGCATAAGTTGACACAAGTTAAGTCTCGAAGTGCGGTTAAGTATCCATGAACATTTAAGTGATAAATGTTCAAAGAAGTAAAAAAATTTATTTAGACATTATAGTCTATTTAAATTATTTTAAGAGAAACCGAAATTTTTAGAATTTTCGGGTTTTACGATAATCGTTCGGGTTAAGTCCGAATGTGGTTCCGTAAATGTAGAATATTTCAAGATAATTATATTAGATCCTAAGAAGCAATATTTTCATTAAATTGAAGAAAAACTGTGAGTAAAGAATTTGAAATTTAGAACTTTCAGTTTTACGGTAAACGTTCGTTTTAAGTCCGAATTGAGTTTCGTAATTGTATTATTCTCAGTTTATTAGCATGATCCAAGACCATATATGAGCATTACTTTTCAGTAAAAGAGTTTTAAAAATCAGCCATTTTGAAAGAAAATGTATAAGTAATAAAAAAAATGATGATTTTTATTATTTTTACTATTTTGTTCCAAAGATTTTTATATGATGAATGGTGACATTTTTTCAATAATATATGGAATTAATTACATCACATTAAGCACGAAATTTTGGTCATCAATTGGTGAGAATGAGATGAGAAAATCACAACAAAGTTTTGCTAAGTCTTTAAGTTAGCATTTTTTTTCAACAATTGGTGAGAATTTTATTAAACTTGGTGGAATAAGTTTTATATAAAAAAAAAACTCATTTATGGCTATGAATAGGGGCCATTTTTTATGATTAATTATGTTTGGATAAGAATACAAGTTAATCATAAAATAGTTTATGATTAATTAAGTTTATAAGTTTAAATTGTTTATTTTGTTCGTTTCTTCACTCCATTATGATGTCTTGCCAAATTGTGCCTATAAATAGAGGCCTAAAAATCAGAGTTCTCACACCAAAGAAAAGTACCAAAAGTTATATAAGAGTGTAAGAGAGAATAAGTAGTAGAAATTTTGGAGAAGTGAAGAATTTGAAGTAAGAATCAAGTTTTTACTCTAGCAAGAAGGAAGTAATTTATTTATCTTAAAGTTACATGCTTATATTCATGTTTTGATAATGAGTTTACATGTTTATAAGGAAGTATATCATGATTTAGAAGTTAAATTTATAATTGATTCTATGAATACAAAGAGTTAAAGTTGTTCAAGATCAATTATATGATATATGTGCTTGATTTGATGAGATGTTGATAAAGATATGAGTAAGCTGGAAAAGTATGATTTAAATGAATAATTTTTATGTAAAAGAGGAGTACATGAGAACAAGAATTAAGTAATTTGCCAAGTATAGCTTGAGTTATGAATTTTTTAAGATGAACATGCAAGATGAATTTTATGTTCACTATGACTTTAAATTCTAATAAGTTGATGTATATGCATGCTAAAATTATGAAATTTTTATGACATGTCTAATTATGAGTTGAGATTATGACTGTTAAATTTCATGATTTGAAGATGAGAAATGAATGAGTTATGATAATTACAAGGCATATATGTAAAGATGAGTATATATGCAAAAATATTCATGATATGATCAAGTTATTAAAGTGAGATTATTATGATCAATTTTCATTTAAGTGATGAGCAATTTGGCAAAGTTTTAGTTTAATATGTTGAGTATATAATCTTATAAAGATTGTATTAAGTATGACATATTAATATCATGATTAAATATTGTGATTAAAAGTTGAAGTAGAACTTGAGTTTATTTTCACTTTCAAGTTAATTAAGTAAAAATTTAATATAAGCCAATATTTAAAATTTGGGAGATATGATGTATGATGAATTAAGTGTTTGATTGAATAAAAGATTAATATGAGTTTATAAATCATGTTGATGATGTTGGGAAAAGTTAAGCATGTTTTGAGTTTAAGTACTCAATCAAGTTTAATGTGAAATTTAGTTATTTTCACATTCGAGTTATTTAAGTGACATGCGAGTATAAACTAATATCTATGATTTTGAAGATATGATTTATATAAGGTTAAGTAATTAACCTTGAGTAAAAGTTTAAGAAAAAGTTAAGATGTTTGATGACTTAATATTTATTTGAGACATATTAAGCTTATTGAATATCTTTAAGATTAGGATAAGTAAGAGTTAAATCTTATTGAGTATATGAGCATAGTACTTAGTATATTTGTTTATATTTTTATGTAGCTTGCAGATATAGCTACCTAAGAGCAACACTTACATTTTTCAAAAGTTTTCAAAAGAAGAAGGTGGGGACCCAGACTGGGTATTACATTGAGTATAATATTGATATCATGTTCGAGGTATGTATACAGTTTAAGTTTATACGCTTGGGATGAGGAGGCATTCAATTGTCTCAGAGTATATCCTAAGTTCTGATGGAGGCCGTTTGAGTTGCCTTGAGAAATATTCATCAGATTGTGCACAAGTATCCGATCAGATATCAGCCAGATTCAGTTTAAGTTACTGGAACAGATTTCCAGTCCAGATATATACCAAAGATCATGATATTGTATTATTATTATTGTTTACTTTAGTATAGGTGTTTTTCGGGGTACAAGAGGATCAGTACTCACGCCCATTGTGTTTTTCAGGTCACAGGGTCAGTGCAGAGGTGTGAGCTCAGCAGTGGTGGTGGTGGTCGTGCACTTATTTCAAGTGGACATTTATTAAATATTTGATATATCTGTATAATAAACCACGTTTTTATGTATTTCCGATATGCACATTAAGTATTGAACTTGCATTTTTAATAAATTTCAGATTTCAAGTTTATACCATTTCGAGAAGTATGAATATGGTACAGTTAAATGCAAGTTTAAAGGAAAACTGTTTTCTTTATGTCTAAAGAAGTATTAGACAGAAAGTTTAAAGATAAACGGATTTTCAAGAAGATGAGTTTGAGTAGCATCTCGAGTTAGTCGCAAAATATTTCGAAAGAGTTATAAGTATTTTCGAAATAAAAGTTACGAAACATTTACTCTGATGAGCGGGGTGTTACAGAATAGAAGTTTGAATATTGTGTGAGAGACAGCTTGTTATTGGAAGAACATAGAGCAAGCAAGATTATTGGAATAACTCGACATGTCCAAAATCACATGTTTTAGCCGAACCCTTCATCAACCCAGATTTTTGTTTCTTCAAAAACACAGAATTGCAATATTTATTTCTTGAAAACAATATACAATATAACCGAAATTCTTTGACAGTATCAGTTCATGTCGTGTAGGAAGAGACAGATGACGATACGCATGGAAACCAATAACGACGTCTACCATCCTTGTGACCATCATCAATCATGGCAAGACCTTCCTGCAATTATACGTACATTATTGTACTTGTATTAATAATCCCTCTAGCTCAATTAGATAAAAACAAAAGGAAATAAAATTTCGATAACTTACTTCTAATAAAGTTTCCAGGGCATCCGTTGCACGTCCAGAAGACCAAGAAAGCCGTCTCTCAACTTCATCAACGGTCACGAAGCCTTGACCCTAAGGAAACAACAAAAGTTCTCCAGTAAAAATAATTGTATGCTAAATTAATTGACAATGTCACGTATGTAGTTACAAATATAGAGTAGCACATGTTAGTGATCTTAAGAAAGTAGACATAACCATCTAGTCTTGAAAAAAATAAATGAAGCAACAAAAATAGATGATAGAGGATATACACAATAATAACAAGAATGCATATATATGAGTCATATGGATAGGGTGAAAACCTGTGCTAGCTCAAGAATTTCATTATGGTCTTTGTTCAGTTCCGTAGGGACAGATCTTACAAGCTTCTTCTTTCCAAGAGAAATCACCTCAAAACCATTACCGAGCACCTGATATTTTTCAGAGAGGTAAACACAGTCAATAGTAGGAAGTCATGCCATGTTTGAATACTTAATGGCATTGAGGTAGAATAAGAGAGATGTGTATCTAAGTGAACACACACACACACACACACACAAAGATAGGTAGTATATTCAAAGAAGATAGTTATGAATGAAGGGGATGAAATTAGGAAAAGTGTAAGGAATCATATCAATTTGCAGAGCAAGATGCAAACCATTACCATGCACCTGAAATTAACATGTTATATAATAAATCAGTTAATGAATACTCTAAAAACTGAAGCACAATGAATACCTTCAGCTTACTTATCGCACGCAAACAATCATCTTGAGAGACAGCCTCACGAGCCCCCTTTCTCCTCTGGCCAAGCAATTTACACAATTCTTCCAAACTGATCAAACCTCCATTTATGGCTCTAGTGGCCAGGCAAATATCAACAATTTGCACTCCTGTCTAGACAAATAGATCGACTTGTAATTAGAAGTAAACGAACAAACCTGCTACATTCACATCAATGAGCCACGAACCATGGAAATGAAATGACGAAACGAAACAAGCCAAGTGACTAGTGCCACAATCATATGCCAATAGTGAAAAGGTAACCGCAAGATCAGAAGTATCGACTAGCTAAACTGCAAGAGAATAAACATGATAAAGAAGTCTGGGTACCAACCAAGCTCGTAATAGAAGTCACCAATCCCCAATAACTCAGCCCAGAAACCCTTGTTCGAGGCCAATGGATCCACTCCGACTTTGGCACACATCTCGTGAAACTGCGATCTGAAAGCTGGGTTCTTGCGAATGTCATTCTGCTCAAGTCACATGACAGTTAAAAGTGAACTCGAGAAACTCAGTGCTTTATATATGTTCCAATGAGGAGGAGAAGATTAAATACATAGAAGTATAAAACTTTACTGTGAAAAATAGTAAAAATCACAATGGTGTTTCCTAGTAGTTATCATGAAACAAGGCAGGCAGGGCATAAAAATTTTCGGCTCAGAGAGATTGACCATGTGTTTGCACAAAAATAACGTTAAACAGGGGTTTCTTTCGTCCAGCTACCACATATATAGTTTGCTCGCCATAATTTGCACAGAAGAAAAAGGGAATCGGAGAGGACCTTCTCAAACATTGTACTGTACTTTCAAATCATACTCCACCATCTTAACCAAATTTGTATACTAAGCCAAAACCTTCCACTGCCTTATGTACTTTCAATAAATTGAATCAAACTGAATTGAGAATGTCATAGGGCAAAAAATGCAGACAAGTCAATCAGTTTCAAACAACTAGCACAACTTTCACCCCGATAAATCCAAAACTCCTTAAGAATCAACTGACAACAATTTTTTTTTTTTTTTGCTTCTTAAACAAGATAAAATCGTTCCAGGTTAATCAGAGATCAAGGCGCAGACTCTTGCTGGTGATTCTCCCAGCTCGATGAATGAGCAGAAAGATAAACAGTTTAATCACATGCTCTGCAATCATCCAATAATTGCGAGGGAAGAAAAAAGAAAAGGGACCTTGTGCTTGCGAGCAAAGTCTTCTAATTGAGAACGAAAAGTTGCGAGCTGCTCCTTCATTAGATCCGTACGCAGTTTCGCCACATTTTCCCCAAGCAGACGGTATTGATCCTTTCGTGCATCACGAACGAAGCACAAATTTCGAATAATTAGATTTTTAAAACTACATAAATGGGCTTATAAATAAATTTATAAATCGAGAGGGGAGAAGAAGGAAGAACCCTAGCGGCGACGGCGTTTTGCAAGCCACCGATTCCAGGTCGCCGTCTCATTTTCCGATCTGTTGGTAACTCGTCGCTTGAACCGATCGATGAAACTGTCGCTGCGACTATGCTCTTTGCTATCACGGGTCTATGACCAGATTGTAGACGGATGTTGTTATGTAATTTGTGCCAATGTTTTACAACAAATCAGAGTGGCGCAGCGGAAGCGTGGTGGGCCCATAACCCACAGGTCCCAGGATCGAAACCTGGCTCTGATATGAGATTGTGGCTTCTCATACCACTCTACCTTTTTTGTCTTCTGATATGAGATTGCAGCTTCTCATTGCAGCTTCTCTCTTTTTTGTCTTCTGATATGAGATTGCAGCTTCTCTCTTTTTTGTCTTCTGATATGAGATTGCAGCTTCTCTCGTACCACTCTATTGGATTGCAGCTTCTCTCTTTTTTGTCTTCTAATATGAGATTGCAGCTTCTCTCGTACCACTCTATTGCAGCTTCTCTCGTACCACTCTTACCTTTCTTTCATTTCTCCCGGGTCTTATTAAAGTTTTGAGCACTTTTTTCTTAATTTATTTATTTTTTAGCCTTTTTCATTATAATTCATTTATCTACCGTCTTATTAAGTTTTTTTAGCACTTTTTTTTCATAAATTATCTATTCTCGTGTCCTCGCTATTAACCAATCAATTGATGTCAGATTGTAATAATTGTTTTGTAAATAATTATTTGGTATATTTGTTTCGAAAATATCATGTTGACATGTTATTCTACGAATCATATGTTCAGGATCAATTGATGTCAGATTGTAATAATTGTTTTGTAAATAATTATTTAGTATAGTTGTTTCGAAAATATTATGTTGACATGTTATTCTTCGAATCATATCTTCAGGATTACCATTTTGGAGTCAAAAAACTAGTCAAATAAGTTATTTACCAAGCAAGCCAATCATTAAATTTGTAGGGTGAAACCTCTAAATGAAATTCAATCTGCCAATCTGATATGGCCATAACTGGGTCGACTGGAACTACACCAAGTACTAAGAGGTCGATTGGCCGGTCAAAATGACATTTCTCTCAAGACAACCAGAGGACTGGGCATACGGACGACTTGAAGGTCTTGGAAAAGCCCTCAGCACCTGGACAACCTAGATTACTCAGAAGACCTGGAATGCCCTCGGACGACCTGAACACCTAATGAGCATAAGACAACTCGACCGAGATGATCGAGGTTTGGGCCGGACGACTTGAGAAGAGTTGTGATGAAGCAATAAGCATTACAGGCAAACTTACATGAGATGAAGGGGAATCTTACGAGGATAATAAGGAGTCTAATGGTGACTACGATATGATTAGAATGAGGATAAGATCAATCCCGGGCAGCCGGGAAGGCTATTTCATGCAGTTATTCCCCTATAAAATGGGTTGAGGTACATCCAAAACCAACTTTACACTCTACATACATTACACACAACTCTTTGGTTACAGAACACTTATCATCTTCTTCTCTTGTACTAATTTGGGTGTTGGAGTGCTAACATCGGGAGACCCTCCAGCCCTTTTGCAGGTCATTCGTAGCAGCTCAGGTAGATCCGAACTCAGATTCAGCCGGTTCAATCTTGACTTGAACCTCAGGCTCATCATTTGGCTCAGTCTGTGGGAAGCTTTTGAAGGAACTAAGAGCTCTCTACCAAGTTTCCGGTCACCTTACATGGCTGAATGAGAAGGGATACAGAGGAACTTAAGTGAGGAGTTCAGGGAGACTTGGACGGACAGACGCCCTCCTTTGGCACCTAGTTCGAAACTAGGAATCACTGTGTTTGGATTGCCGCCGATGAGTAACCACACACCACCATTTGTTCTCCAGTAGGAGGAGCCATCAACACATGTGGAAGGAAAAGGTCAACTATTACCAACTAGAACTGGTAAAGCTACATCGGTGACACTCGGTGGCGAAGGTTTAGGTCGACAAGAGGGCACGTAGAACAGAAAAAAATGGGTTGAAAGACAGAAAAAGAAGGTAAAGGTCTCTGCTCAGCTCCAGCAACCTGAGGAGCAAGCGATTACTCTCACAAGAGCTAAGTTGCAAAAGATGATTGCAAAAGAAGTAGCTGTGAAAATGAATCAAGGTCGGAATACACATCCCAACAGCTCGCATAACAGTACCTACAAGAAGGGAGAAGATGATGAGTCATCCATGCAGATGACGACATGTACACAGTCGAGGGAAAGAGAGGATCCAACTTGAGAGGTTGAGGGACAAGATAACTAACAACTCAAATTCGTGATGGACAAGATAAGGTTGAGGGAAAGAGAGGATCCAACTTGAGAGGTTACCCATTCTGACAATATATACTTGACATCGACTTACCATAGAAATTTATGGAGCCTAAGCTGGCATATGACAAATCTATTGACCTTTCGAGGCATCTGAGGAGTTTTAAAAACACAACATTGTTGCACATATATAACGACCCAGTGCAATGCAAAGCTTTCTTGACCACGTTGTGAGGACATGCACAGGATTGGTTCCACCAACTTTCACCAAGATCAATCTACAATTTTGGGTCATTTAGCTCGACCTTCATCAACCAATTCGTGAGTGGCAAAGCTCATGAGAAAACCTACTTAACTCCAATTGGAACTGATTTTTTTTACTTATTTTGTTACCTGGCTAAAAACATAGGATAGTTATGCAAATAACCCAAATAGATTCAATAACAGAAAATTGAAGGTTTCATTCTTGTCCGCATCACAATAAAGGATTTTCATCAACTAAAACATCACTGGGGTTACAGAGGACCGAATAGATTTCAGGCTAACAATACACGTAAGTAAATCAATTACTTGTTTTTCAATTTTCACTAGTTTGATTTCTGCATCTAAACTGCTGGTTGAGACAAAAAGACCAAGGCAGCAAACTTTGTGCTATAACCTCTTTTGGTTATTTTTCTAAATCTATGCTGATATTCCTGTAGCTTCTTTTGGTATAAAAAATAGAAAAGCAACCGGAATAAAAGTGCACAGGAATTGAATAATGATGCCGGAAAGAAGGTTCTCGAAATTTCCGGAAGAAATATTAAGAATCGAAGCCAGCCCAGCACCCACAAAAGATCCGATTGTTGAGCCCAAGTTGTTAATAGACATAAAGAGTGCAAATAGAGTTCCTTCTATACCAGGCGGGCAAAGTTGCCCTGATAAGATCAGGAATGGCATGAACCTGCAATACAAGAGTAAAGAGGGTATTAGTAGCAGTTAACAATAACCCAATGTAAGAATACAGTCAACTGCAAGATTAACCATAAAATTTGATGTCTCGGGTAATGACAATATGCTTGTAAGTTTCTCATACTCAAATAAGCTTCACGTTGGTTGGCTTAGCCTCTATTGAAAATCACGAGCTAATTTTGCGATACTTTTTAATTTGTACCAGCCAGCTTTTCAAGTATCAACTATCAATTCTCATCTTACCAGCTATTAGCTAGCTAGCTAATCAGCTTTGTCTATCAAACACACCATTATTTAATTGTAAAATAACCCGTGAAGATTACAGTTCCCACAAAAGAACCACAGTATGTTTCATTACAGTTGCTCTATATATCTCTACTTTTACAAACGGTTCATATTTATCAAGGAATTACATATACCTTAAATGGGCTCTTGTAGATTTTGAAAGATACAACAACAACAACAACAACATACCCAGTATATTCCCAACAGGTTGGGGTCTGGGGGTCAGTTGTACGCAGACCTTACCCTTGTAATTATACAAGAAGGTTGTTTCCGTAACGACCCAAGGTGCATTGCGCCGTTTGATATATTTTTTTCTAGAAACTTCACTAATAGAAGAAGCACTAGAATTTAATTGAGTCATTATGATCTAGTCCATTATTAGCACTATGCCAGGAAAATTGGCAACAATGACTCTTCCAGCTCCATTTGCAATGGACAATTAGATTTTGAAAGATAGATCAAATTTTTTTGTTGTAATTAGGTTTGGTATCAGGAGTAGGTCGTATAATGATCCCTCAAAATTTTGTTATTTGCATAAAAGACAGATGAACTGGGAAATAGAAAATAACGAATAGCAATTAATTAAACCATTGATTAAAATAAAAGGAAACTGTCAGACTTACTTAAATTGATTGATGCCATCTGCAAGAGCGGACCCAAAAAGCACCATAACCTTGTCTGATATGCCTACTGTAAGATGTGATCTTGACACAAGAACCCCATCCAAAAGACTCAATAGGGACAAGCCAATTTGAGCACATCTGATTAAGAACCAAATAAAAAATGTTATATTTATTAGGAAAAAATAAAGTTGCTTAATTTGTTGAAAACCCCAAGTGTTACACAGGTTCAGGATAGACTTACAAGAGAATCCTACGCAATCTCATCCTCTTCAAGAAGCGGTTATAGATCACGGTTCCAAACATGAGGCCCAACCAGCCGACGACACGTGTCGTGCCCAAGAAGGAGGCTTCCAATTTGAGGGTTTCCGACTGGTAATAGAACATGATCGTTGAGAGGTTTGGGACAGTCACGTGTGCCAGGAAAAACCACGACATAGGCCTATACATCCCAATGTAGTACAAGAATCTTAATTATTCAGCCCGCACGCAAGAGAGAATGGGCAACCAAAATCGAACATATAAAACATTATATGCTAGAAATTGAACATGAAATTGGGAATTAAACATGTAATTCTAAATTCCAGTGGTATAAAGAAGAATCAACTTCAAAGCTTGGTTCTGTATTTTTATCTATCAAATTATTATATGGTAAAAATTTTAAATTCCGCCGTAGATTAAGTCATTTGAAATTCTTAACCAAGAATCTTTTATTATATGCACTAAGTAACAATTACATATAGGAAACAAGATAATTCAAATAAAGATGATCACCCTTTCCATTCACAAGGAAAGAAAAAAAAGGAAAAAAGCTCCATAAAAAATGTCCAAAGGATTACCTCAAAATCATAGGCTGACGAAAAGCCCCAAACAATGAATATGAAGCCAGTTTCAGAGACTGGAGCCATGTACGTGCAACGGATCTCTGGGCTTCAGGGCCCTGAAAATTATGTTCAGTCACAGATCTCGCTTTTTCACTTTTATGGTTCCTCTTTCGCCTCGAAATATTATTCTTGGACTTCTTGGAGGAAGTACTGTACTGGCTCTTGGAAGTATCTTCCTGGTAATCTTTTCCGTTAACACCGTTTGAACTAGAGTGTTCGGAAGAAACAATACTGTCCACATAACTTTCCTCAACTAAACCACATGAAAACAGCTGTATGGCTTGTAAGGCTGAAAAAAGCAAGAATATTTTATCTATTTGTAGATTGGTTAGAGCATATCCCCCAAGTAAGCTCCCAAAGATTCCTCCCACGGCCATTGCCATCCATGATATGGACTGAAGATCTCCAGCAAAAGAGGCTCTGTTTTCAAGGGCAAATGATATATTCATGTTCCATGACACTAAAAACAGTAAGACATTATTCTACCCAAAAAAGGACAGTAAGGAAAAAAATGTACAGGCATATGTATGTACACTAAAGATTTCAATTGACAATGTACTAGATCAACTAGAAGCGTGAGCAGAAAAAATAAAACACCCACGGCATGTCTCTCTTCCAGGAACTCAGGCACTCACATTATATTATAGATATACTTAGAATCTATAGTTTCAGGGCCTGGCAAACCTGTCTTTATAATGATTATTGTGAAAAGATTGGTTTGTATGATAAAGTCTTCATCATTAGACTCAACCATACATCAAAACTTTTCCATCTGGCTTAAGTCCCAGAGTAAAACAAGAATTTTATTGCTAATGATACAGTACACCCACGACAACTAATTATGTTGTCCTTTAGCCTGGTCTCAGTCAAAGTGTTTATTAATACTTGTTCAACTTCACAAAATCGTCAAAATACAATCAAAAAAACAATTAAATTTGAAAACTTCATCGTCTTTTGGGATTTTTCACCAAAATATAGAACATAACATTCATAATCTTTGATATGTTTTAACAAAATAAGAAAAGAAAGAAAAAGAAAAAAAAAAGTATAAGAAGGATACACTATTTTTACCTCTCAAGTCTTGCAGCCTCAGCTATCATTGCATCAATCACAACATCAGCCATTGCAGAGCCCAAGTTTTGCAATGTCAAAAAAATCATGAAAGAAATTTGGGAGCCCCTTAAGGATTCATTGATGCTCAAGAGGAGCCACGGGAAAAGAGACAGCAATGTTGCAATCACCAAGTAAGGGATCCTTTTCCTTCCTCGAATTGGTATGCAATCCGACACGATTCTGTAAAAGTAAAAACGAGTTTAATATATATTTATGCCCATTACAGTATATATAGGCCCTAATGAGTGAAAGCTGGCTCAATGCAGTAGAATGATAGACCACCACAAATATGTAATTTTTTACACATGCAGGATGAGCTGACAGACAGTTAATTTTTTCTCATCAGTTATAGAGTGGTCACTCCAAGTTATCCGCATACAGCAATAGCACCTTCATATCATGCAGTTGATGAAAACCATAATGTTCTACTTTACTTGTCATTTCCTAGTCCACGGTGCATATCTCTATTAGTTGCTTTTCGGTGTAGACAGTGCCATTGTTTTATATCAAATAAAAGTTACTTCATCTTTACACGGCAGTTCTGAGGTTTTAAATGTTCACAACCAATCACCGTAAGTTATTGAGTCTGTTTACTCTCTTTTTAACAAAATTGAGTGCGTATATCCAAATTAGACAGCCTTCACACTGGAAACATAGTAAGGAGCATACCCATATATTGGCTTGATGCTCCATGGGAAAAAGGCTACTGAGGTCACAAACTGAGATGCAGAAGGCGATAACTTTAGCTTGTCTTTTAGCTGATATGACACCGCTGTCCATACGAATGATCTAAAACCCTGGTTTGGCAGAATAGTGTAAAAGCCATGCAAGTATAGACTTTAGAGTGATAATTTCAGCAAACACAATAAATGGTAGAAATAAGCTCAGAGATTGCTATGTATCTTTACAAAGATGCACGACATGATGCAAAGTCATTGAAACTATTTTATTTTCAGCTCCTACTTTTGACCAATATCAAGCGGTAGAGTCCAACAATCTGGTTTATCCAATTCAGATGCAAGCTTTTCAATGACAGTGACATTTACTTATTACAAAATGCTCTTCCTCATTTTGATTTCAACTAAACACTAATTTAGCATTCTCATAGATATCTTCTAGCAGTATAACATAGCTAACTATCATATCCCATATCATATGCAGACGAATAGAAGTAAGAAAAAACTAAATAAAATTCTCTGGATCGATTTTATTTCTCTTCTATAGCTAAATTTAACCCTCTTATCAGCATAAAAAGACATAGCCTCCTCATTATCACTGAAACTTATGATATCTCAGGAAGATCACAGTAAACCACAGTGAAACCATTGCATCACAACTGATTAAACCAGCCATCATTATGCCAAATTTAATAGGAGAAAATAAAAGAAAAGAAAAAATAGTGCCAGAATTGTCTCAACGACACCATTTTTATCAACTCAACTTCACACACCTAAAAAGGGAACAAACAGAACAACAATATTGACAAACAAGAATTAACTGAAATCAAGAAATCAAAAATCAATTAAACGACTAACGCACAAATATATAAATATCAAGATGAAATACATTGTATAAATCGAACCTGGGTGAAGTAAATCAGGCAAACCAGCCATAAAAAAGAAGCCCCAAATGCGACCTGTAATTTCTTGAGCCACCGTATCATTTTTCCCCCTTCTTTTTCGTTAGGTTCCCACAAATCTGCAGCTCACGTCAAAGGTATTTCTGTCGTGGGCTCGAAGATCTAAATCGATACCTTTTAACTTCTGGTGACTGAATAATTTCTCTCGCTATTCTTCATCTTCTTGAGATATATGTGATCAGATAATAAGGTTTTGGGAGATTCAAATTCGAAGAATAAGATTAACAAAGATGTACTAAAAGAAAACTTCAAATTCCCTCCTCTCTTCTAATCTCAACTGTTCCAGTTGTGATCTGCTGACTGTAGTGTAATCTTTTTTCTCCATTTGTTTTACTTTTCCTTCATCATAAATAAAAATCTAACCACTTGGCTCTTGACACTTGGCACTTAATACATAAATTATGTAATTGGTTTTGTAAGACTATAAGGAGGGTATATTGGATTTTAAGGGTACGTTTGTCTATAAATTTCTTCAATTTATACTCAAAATTTATCAAGCAATCATTCTTATATATTAAATAAACTTATTTTCACTATTTATCCATTCATATAATTTTAACAAAACATCACTTCACATCATATCTCTCTTTCTTTTACAAGAAATCAACTTTAATTATTTTATTTTAATTATTATTTTAATATAACCTCAAAGACTCACTAACAATTAACCATACAAACTTTCTTTAAAATCAACTCTGGTTAACAAGAAAAACTTATTTTGAGCTGATATATTTGAATACAAGCACACCCTAAGAGACATTTTTAAGATTTTTTTAAATTTTAAATTTTTTAAATTCTGAGATTTAAGAAGAATTCTTGTAAATCATGGGGTGTATTCATTTGGGATTTCGAGTGTTATATTGAGATTTTTTTAGATTTGCAACTTTGTAAGATTTTCAAATTTTGGAAGATTCCTATGAAATCTTCTGGAGGTAGGATCAGGAATGAGATCTGTAAAAAAAATATTTCTTTTGAAATCTCGACAAATCTTAAAAAGTCTTAACAAATTCTAGTCTAAATAAAGTTAAATACCTCCAAATTTTGTAAAACTTAAAATATCAAATGAACACCCCAAGATTTTTAAAAGTCTTAAAAAGTCTAAATTAAATACACTAAAATCTCTAAAAAGTTTTAAAAAGTCTTTAAAAATTCCACATGAATACACCCCCTTTAGGAAGTCTATTGGTTTGGGATTTTTAAAGACTTCGTAATACTTTAGAAAACCTATTGCATCAATTTAGACTTGTAAATGTATCGAGGTACTTATTTGAGATTTTAAACAATCTTACAAAATCCTGATGTATTTAACTTATTTGAGACTAGAATTTGTTAAGACTTTTTAAGATTTGATTTTCTCAAATCTTAAAAAGTCTTAATGAATCTCAATGTCAAATAGTTAAAATACCTTATGATTTGTTAAGACACTTTGGAATTTCAAATGAACACCTCAAAACTTTCAAAAGTCTAAACTAAATACACAATGATTTAGGGGTGGCAACGGGCACGGGTAATTCAATACCCAGACATGGCTATTAGAAATTCGTCGGAGAGACAACACCCAGTTGTTGGCAAGACCACGACCAAGACACGAAAAAAAACTCATGCGAACACAAATGGACACGATCTTGTTTGGTGTTGTTGAATTGACTGTTTTTCTAGTGATGTTATATTCCTTAAATAAAGGATTAAAAAGAACCTAATTAAGGTCTACAAATCAAGATTAGAAGAAAACTATAATCATGCCAAGATGAATGACACTCGCACAACTAAGGAAAGCAAAACTAAGAAAAGTAAAACTAAATTAGGTGCACAAGGTTAATTACTACAATATCCTCCTAAGCCTTGCGCACATTGCTAGTATTGATCAATCCGATCTTAGTGCGCAGTTCATGAAACTTGGTCCTCCCAGGTGGCTTCGTCAGAATGTCGCCCAATTGTTCTTCATTCCTGATGAACTCCACAGTAATCAAGCCTTCCTCTGCAGACTCCTGGAAAAAATGATAGCTCCTAGAGGTCGGTACCTCCAGCCGTATCTTTCAGGTATTTCAGTGGCAAATTAGTAATACATTAATACTCATACTATCTTATATTTTTAATTAATAACTAATATTTAATGGCAAATTAGTAATACTACCCATCATATCTTATGTTTTTAATAAATAACTATTATTTAATTAATTAAATACACGTACACGAACAAAACATTCTACATCTCCTAAAATTCAACCACAATATTCTCGCATCATGATTACCCATGATTTGCTTTCTTCAACATATCTCTCAAATTTCTTTCTTTATATCTCCCAAAAATTGCTCAAACAACAAAATTTTAGAAGGATATAGAATTGTTGTTTTGTGAAATATCCTTATTTTTACTATAGCTTTAATGGTGAAAATGGTAATCATATTTAATAATTCTAATATATAAAAGTTCTTTAAAGAAAATTGATCCAACAAAAATAGCATAATAAATACTTATAAAGAATCCAAACAATAATAAGGTTCAATTTTTTAGTAGCTTTTGTTTGTATCTTCAACTATGTCTTTTGTTGTGTCCTTATTTATAATATAGTTTTGACGATAAAATCTTGGTGATATTTATAATTCTAATACATAAAAAAAATTTTTAAGAAAAGTGATGCAACAAAAATAACATAATAAATACTTATAAAAAATTTAAATATTTTTAATTATTTATTTAGCTATCTACAATTAAAAGAAACGATAATTTTTGGTAAAAAAGGAAAAATTAATTCAGGGGCAAATTGTATATAATAAATAATTTAAAAGATACATACTTAACTTTAATTAAGAGAAGATAACAAAGAATTTACCAAAATAATTCACATGTGAAATATATACATAATCCAACAAACTAGAAAAGTAGAACAATACATTTAACTACTTCATTATTTAAGAAAAATTAACTCTTTTATTTAGAATAAGAATAAAAAAATTGCGCCTTAGTCTTATTGGATGAATTTTAATCCCACATAAATCATCATTTATTTATTTGCTTATTTTTATTTCTAATTTTGGTCCCAAAATCAATAAAATTAACGAATCTTCATCGGACCATTAGGTTATTAATATCAAGTAAGTAACATTTTAATAATTAACACTTAAAATATTTGATCATTTTCATTCAATATTAACTAAAATATATCATGATATTTTAAATATTATTACTTTAGTTAAGCCTTTGATTTTCAAGATGGGCGCTAGATAAACAATGTGAACTAAAAATTTTATTTATTAAATATTTTATTTATTGATATATCTTAACATTCTTAAATTCTTTTATGATTTTCTCAATAAAATTTGAGAGTTTATTTGACCATATCTATCCTATCAAATAAGATTATTGTTTTAGTATACTTATTTAATTTATAAAATTATTAATAAGTATAAGTAAAAAAAATTGAAATTGATATTGTTTGTTCCCATCACGACCACAAAGTATAGAACATTATTTTTCGAAATAACCTATACAAAATAATAAATTGTGTAATAGTATGGGGGATTAATTCTTGATGGATTGTTTTGTAACCTAAACTTCTAATCTATTCAAATTATTTGCTTAAAATAAGATTAAAATGATTTTGTGAAATTGTTTAATACTTGTTTTCACGTTGAATGAGATGACACTTGAGCAGCATGCATTAATTTTAATATGTGATTATCCACAAATTAATTAAGAATATCTCGAGAATCATGATATGCCTATATACATTAAACTTAATTAATTTTTACCAAGAAATCATATTGATATATTACCATTACTCATCTATATATTAATTTGTATTATTATAATAAAATAGTTATAAAAAATCTAAATATTTTCAACTATTTATTTACTTATCTACAATTTTAACAAAACGATAAATCTTGGTAAAAAAAATAGAAACTTAGTTTAGTGGTAATTTGTATAAATAAATAATGTAAAAGATACATATTCAACTTTAATTAAGAGAAGATAACTAAAATTTTACCAAAATCATTCACAGGTGAAATATATACATAACCCAATAAAATAGAAAAGTGGAACAATTCATGTAAGTACTTTACTTTAAAAAAAGTTAAACTCTTGTATTTAGGATTAGACTTAAAAATTACACCTTAATCTTATTGGATGAAATTTAATCCCACAAAATCATCATTTATTTATTAGTTTTTATGCTTTTTCTAATTTTGGTCTCAAAGACAATACATTTAACAAATCATCACTATGAGTCTAGAAAAACAAACGAAATAGAAAACCATATAAAACAAATTCAGTCTGATTCCCTTGTTAATTTATAAATGAATGTGATAGGTTATTTTTATGAGCTAAACTCCATTTATAAGAAGAACTTATTGTTAGAATAGTGAAGAGTCATCAACTGGCTAATCCACATCTCAATACCACATATCTCGTTAAAAAGCAGCTACTACAATAGAGACTTCTTAATATGTCATCTTCTGAGCACTCAACTCCACACTTTTAACCAAGGTTGTCAAAACTGAACCGGTCATCGAACCGATGAAGCTACCGGTTCAATGGTTCACTGATCGGACTAGTGGTCGAACTGATCGAACCGGTTTAATTAATATTAATTTCTATTTATTTTATATGTATAATATATAATTGTATATATTTTTATCATTAATGTAATAGTCTATAATAACATTTGTCTAAATAAATAAAAGGAAAAAATTATCTACATGCTTATGTAATGTCAACATTTTGTAAGAATACTATGTAATGTCCAACAAAATTCGTTGTTTGTCCCATTTTTGTTGCGTTTTTCCTTATTTTTTTTTCATTTTTTTTCTCCCATTTTATGTCTTTTCGTTAGTTTTTATTCATTTTTATAGGTTATTGCGTGTTTTCTTTTATGTTGGCTTTCCTTTTGTTTTTTCGGTCGTCTTCCGGTCTTTCTTCGTCTGTGGTGTGCAGGTTGAGTCCATGGCCGATTTTGATATCGAGGAGAAAATTGATTTGACGAGCATTATCTCGTAGAAGAGTTCGTTGGCATCACACAGGAGAAAACGAAATCGAATTCCGAGTCCAAATGAACTCGAACGGGCCCGAGAAGCAACGTCCCGTAAGCTGCCCAGTGCCACCCCCACGTCGCGGCCCATCTCGCGTCACCGTCATGGGCTTTCAGAAGATGGCTGCTCGCACGCCACGCCGCGGCACGCCCCACGCCGCGCCACACCTCGCGATGCCCGACACGCTTGGACAGAGTCTCCCAGCCACACCAACCGCCACGCTGCGGAGCTTCACTCCATCACGCCGCGGGACTCCTGCCGCGCCGTGCCACAGCACCTCTCCGC